GTGGCACAATTTAAAACACAGGTGATCTCTGTTTCACAGCACATTCAAGTTAAAATGAACCACACTTATGACTGTCTGTTTTTATTTATTTTGCACACCTTATTGTTAGTAATATGTACTACATATAAGGCTGCAGTGTGCAATTTTCTGGTGTTAGCATTTTCAGATGTTCATTCATAGATGTTCCAATTTATGATTTACTGTTGAAAACACTGCCGTATAACACACTATGACTTGGTTTATAAGGAAGTTGGTGTTGGTGTCTGGAGTTGTAACTGTTAGAAAGTTGGGCAGTGCTGACCTCTAATGACATCTGACAACTGGATTGTGCATGGGCACAAGAGTAACCATGACTCTTACTTCATTGTGAACATATGGACACCAACGTCATTATAGACCAGGCCTATGTTGTTGCTATGTACCGTTTTCTTGGAGTTGACTCACAGTATCCCTGTATAGGGTTTCCAAGACTACACATTTTTGTGGGAGCAGAAATCATCATCTTTCTCCTGCAGAGCAGCTGGTAGGCTTGAACCACCGACCTTGTGGTTTACAGTGCAGTACTTACCCTGCGGAGCTACTGTGCTCCCCCCATCAGGCCTATAGCGTGATCTTATTCCATGTTTTGTATCCTAACAAGCATCAGTTGCTAATTGGAAACTGAGCTGTTCAAGTTTCTCTAAGTGTAAACACCCACACTGCTTATACCCCCAGCAAAGAGTCTTGCCACTGCACATTCTAATTCTAAAAAGGAGGTAAGGAAGGTTCTAGAACCGGACATGAAGCTAAAGGCCATTAAGGCGTATAATAATGAAAAGCAAGCTGGGGAAAAAGCATGTGAGGAAGGACTGTCTCATCTGACCATTCTGACAGTCACTCTGGATAAGAACAGAATTGGGAGGTATTTAAAGCAATGATAGCTGTTACTGTTGTTGTTAAGTGCTGTTGAGTCAGTTCCGACTCATAGCCACCCTGTATAGGGTTTCTGAGGAGCGGGTGGTGGGTTTGAACTACCAACTTGTGGTTCAGGCTGACCTTACGGAGTCCAGAGCATTATCTGGCAGCATCACACCAGGATTTTATGATGACTAGCATGGCATGAAATCAACAATTTTTTAACAAAGAAAAGGCAAGGACTAGTTCACGAAATGGAGAAGCTATTGATGATTTGGAAAAAAGACCAAATCCAGAAGAGGATTCCTTTGAGTTTAC